GTTGAAAGACCACTTGACTGCAATGATTACAATGACCGGTAGGTCATGCGCTATGGAATGGTCACTAAGCACACATTCCACCGCTCACTCTTTCCACTCATAGAGCATTGCCTATGACTTAGCATAGTTACATGTACCGGGACCTAGCATACCAGTAGTTGCATGTGCTGGGACCTACAATGTAGCATAGTTGCATGTGCTGGGACCTACAATGTAGCATAGTTGCATGTGCTGGGACCTACAATGTAGCATAGTTCCGTGTGCTGGGACCTAGCATAGTTACATGTACCGTAACATCCCGCCAAAGCGCCCTGTCCCTCCCATGTGCCACATCCCGACTTCTTGTCAGGGAAGTGATAATGATAGTATCATTGTATGACTCTGGGAAGTGTGATGCCGTACTGCACTGCAGGTGGGTGTTCGACCCGGTTGAAAATGTACGCAACAATTCCCACACTCTTGACCAGGGATCGCACAAGCCCTGGGTATTGATGAGTCTGTATGACTCCCTGCTCTTGACCTTTGGTCGGTGTACGAGACGCACGCACAGAATTCGTAGGGTGAGTACTTTTTCATGTATGTAGTGCTGTACAAGCAGAAATATTCGTCTGGAATTTAATTTCGTCTTTTTCGTCCAAGGAGCTTTTGGACTAAATTAAATGTAGGACGAATATCGATTTGTCCAGCTTTTCTATACACTCTTATGATCCATGGACGAAATTTTCAACCGGGCGAACTCCTTTTCTTTGGAGTTGGACGAAATTATTGACCGACGAAATTTTCTGCCTCTGCAGTACTGAATGCGGTAAGTAGGACTTGCCTATCCGCCCTTCCCGGCCTGGACCTACTCGAAGGGTCGTGGAGGTAGGGGCGCTCTGGCGGGATTTTACGGTGCATGTGCTGGGACCTAGCATAGTTACATGAGCTGGGGATGAACAGCCAGCTGTAGTAAGGGGGGGGGGGGGGGGGGGCTGCCCAACTTGCGGCACAGCAGAAGCAGTACACGTGGTTGCCAATCTGCACACGAAAAGTGCCATTGCAAAACAATGCCCGGGAGTGCGAAGGTACACTGCATACACTGCATACAGTGCATACAGTGTGCTGTGCTGGAAGGTACCCTAACATAATCATCACATTCATCTTCCCTCTCGGCTATTTACAGTACATCAAAATGCATAGAAAAGGCAAGCACATTTACCAGCACAATATCACTTGAGCAGCAGCAGTAGCAGCAGCAGAAACTAGTAATACAGTCTGATCTTACCATAGGTGGATAGTGTAAGTTCAGCGATGTGAAGAGGTGGTAGTTGATAAAACCCAGCAGAGTGGTGTACAACTCCAAAAATGTCAACATGATCCGGAAGTCAATGTCACTTGGCGTCTGCGAAGATATAAAATGTAATGCTTGTATTACATACTCAAGGTCATAATAATATTACAGTACGGCAACCATGAACGACACACACACACACACACACACACACACACACACACACACACACACACACACACACAGACACACACACACACACACACACGGGAAAGGGAGTGAGCGAGAGGGAGAGAGAGAGAAGAGAAGAGAGGGGAGGGGGGGGGGGGGGGAAGCACACCTGGACTGCCAACAAAAAAAGGCATCTGACTATGTGTGCTAGAAAAATAACTTAGTACTAGCATCAAGAGTGCATAAACAAGAGTATGAAACTGTGGTTATGGGTCAGTGCGCGGCGCGCTGCCTTCAAAACGTAACTTGCCTCCATCATGCTCTGAAAGCATGCACTCAAACCCTCAATTTCTGGTACGAGCTCATTCGTTTTTGCTGGATTCATTCCAGTACCTACGCGATCTCTAAATTTTGGCGCGTGAACTCCAGTTCCGCACGAAAAGTTCATTTCAAACCAGAGGGAAGGTGCAGTGTTTGATTTTCTGCAGTGCGCGGACTGCAGCTGAATGATGTAACGAAGGCAGCGCACCGCGCATCTGGCCCGTAGAAAAGAGATCACAGTTGCATACTCTTGTTTATGGACTCTTGCTCGTATGGGCAGCAGAAGATAAAGTATACTTACATGCTGGGCAAACTGATGTGGTACAACCCATGTGATCGTTTCACCCTGGATTTCTACTTGATAGTATATGCCCTTGATAGAGATGAAGACCTGCACACCCAGACAAGAAAGAAGAAGACAATCAGTTCTAACTCACATTATGCAGTATGCTAGGATAGAACACCATAAGCACAATGTTCAAAACAGAAGAACACATGGAAATGCTTCAGCCCATACTCCATAGCTCAATACCTGGTGGTTTGCAAGCAGACATTGGCAGCAGTCGCTCACACCAACCACTACACAGACGGTCAATACGGTCATTAGCACTCTGATCATATCCATCATTACCGTGCTTGCAGAGAATGTCTTATTGTTTGAAAGCTAAATGCTACAAGAGCTAGCCAGCTCTACTACCACATGAAAAAGTAGTGGAAAAACACTGTCCAACTTCGGACATCAATGGGAAGCAAGAACTGACCTTGCGGAGCCGATTGGAAGCCATAACGTAATGCATGAATTCCACTGTACAACAGCAACACATGATAACACAGATACAGGGATACATGTAACAATTACACATGGATAAGCATACTGTCGTGACCAGAGTTTGAAGGTGGAACGCATGGTGGCAAGTGGCAGATGCGTCAGCAAGTCGCATTCGCTATACATCAGCGTTGGGTCATGGTAAACTGATACCTACGTTAGTTCATACATAATAATTAGGGGTGAAAGTTGGCACTGAGATCCCGAGTTCGAGTACCGTATTATCTCTAATATAAGCACAGTCTCCAATAATAGCACGTCTCCAATAATAGAACACCTTGGGGCGGCATTCGAAAAATAAAGTGCTCAGTCTCCATTATAAGCACACTGTGTAAATTCATTATCTGTACCGGCGAAAAAACCCTGAGATGTGTGTGTCTGACATATAAATTTGGCATGGCAACATGCCTCTGAAATGAGGTTGAAATAATAATGGAACAGTCTCCAATAAAGGAACGTCTCCATTAATAGCACGGGGCGGAGGTACATTGAAAAAATAAAGGACCGTGCTTTTATTAGAGATAATACGGTACTCTGATTTTCTCCGATCGAATATTCGAGTATTCAAGTATTCTTGATAGCCTAAAAATCACACACCAACCGCCTCAAAAATCACATGATACAACCCTGATTGAACAGATTGGCAGTTCTATTCTCGGGTGTATTGGTTGGTGGGTCATTTGGGCTCTCTCTAATCATGTACAAATGTTCATCACACAGTCTGCACATCAATATCTGCCGACTGCTGCCCTGAAACTGCAGACTTCTGTAGTAAATGCATGTACCATGTATGAGCGAGTACTCTGATTTATTCCGAGTACGATTATATTTGAAAAATCCAAACGAGTATTCGAATATTCGGCATAATTGTTTCACCCCTAATAATAATTAATATTAACAAGAGTCCTCTGAGCTGTGCTGATGAGCTCTAACAGAGCGAAACAGTTGCTGTCCACAGACTTGAGTGTTATGCTCCCTAGCGTCAGCAATGTCGTCAGGTTGAGCACTCTTACCTTAGCGCGAACCCTTGCCGCTCGCCTTGTGCAACGCTCACTGCTCTTGGAGCATTTCGAGCACTCTTGGCGGGGTTTGCAGCTCTTTATAAAAATGCTTTGCTTTACGGAAACGTATTTCATTGCGAAGAGCTGCGCTTCGGTCCTCTGAGCTGTGCTGATGAGCTCTAACAGAGCGAAACAGTTGCTGTCCACAGACTTGAGTATTAACAAGAGTACATAACCTCCCAAGAGCGTGACAACTCTGCATATGGGGTCTCCGATGGCGAAAACTCACATCGCGTGTCTCAGGTATGTTTCGTACTACGTACAAACGAAGGATAGCGTATGCGCAATCCAAATATCTGCCCTGATCAAGCTGGGGATTTGCATACGCGCAGGGAGTTTCTGTGAGAGCGTTTTTTTATTACTCCACTGCTCGCTAAAAACGGGCTGGAAAAGTACAACTGCGACACTACACCACGTGATGTGAGTTTTCGCCGTCGGCGAACCCCATAGAACGGGTATCAGGAGTTGCACACTCTTGGGGGGTTATTACTCTTGATATTACTATAACTAGTATAAGCTGTATTCCACTAGCTCAGCCCTTCACGTCACGTCCATCACGTCCACACACACACGCACACACCTGTCCTGTTGACACACACACACACACGCACACACCTGTCCTGTTGACACACACAAACACGCACACACCTCAGATCTACCCATTGCGGAAGCGATGATAGCGAACAGCTATGTTAGACATAGCAACTTGTGCTGGGATTACACCATTCAACAGCTTGTAAGGCTGATGAATTGACCGCCACTATTTTTTAGCCTGGTCTACACTACAAAGCTGATTGAAGCACACACACACACACACACACACACACACGCACGCACGCACACACACACACAACCAGCGCATCTCGTTTTACAGCACTACTACTGACCTGATAGACGACGACATTTCTGTACAACTTTCCGCTGCAAGCGAAAACAGGAAACAGTTCAAAACGACTCTCGGCTTCCCTTCCAGCAAGTACATGTAAACTCTTACCCCATGGATGTCCACCAACTACAACTACAAGCAGCAAGGCTTGCAGCACAGAATGCTTAGCAGCAGAACACGTCTATCCAAACACAACAGAGGAATACATCTATCTGAGCATAGCGCGCACATACAAGAATGCTGAAGCATATACAAAGGTGTTATTGAAAGTGTGCAGCAAACCTATCACTAGGTAACACAGCGTGGCAATGTTGTCGCCCTACCTTGACACGGTTCTCCTGTGGCAGTGTGGCGAAAAGAAAGACCATTGACAAGCAGTCATCCATGTCACGGAGTGCATCCACAAACGTAGGGTAGCTGTACACAAGGTGCAAAACCACAAACAGATAACTGTTATCCAATGTGACTAGGGATGTGACAAAGAGGGAAGGAGCTAGTTTGCACCAAACAGCTCTCTCTCTCTCTCTCTCTCTCTCTCTCTCTCTCTCTCTCTCACACACACACACACACACACACACACACACACACACACACACACACACACACACACACACACACACACACACACACACACACACACACACACACAAGCTCACATGTCATCGCACTAGGTCAGTCAACAGAAGAGCTATGTTACAAAAGAAGAAAACGTAACCACATTTACGGTGAGAACAAGGAGCAATAAGTTATCAACAAGCCCCCCCCCCCCCCCCCCGCACCACACCCAGACACCCACACAAAAAGAAAGCAAAGTTGCCCAGTAAAATAGAGAATGTACGATATGTAAAGCAGTGTTGAAAGCAGTGCTGTGAAGAAAGGGTGTGAAGTAGGGCTGTAAAGCAGGGCATTGACGCAGAGTTGTGAAGCAGGGCTGTGAAACAGAGCTATGAAGCAGGGCTTTGAAGCGGAGCTGTGAAGGAGAGCTTGCAGGTGAATCACGCTTGTTCTTAGTCACGTGATCACCTCGCACTTTTCAGACGTTCAAACTTTCCTAATTTCTTTCAATATTTTGTGCAACTGCTTCTATAAAGCATGCGCACGCTGCCATTTTTCTCTCTCCTTTTTTTCCTTTTCATTACTTCTGTCATTCTGGTTTCGTTGTGTCATAGTAAGACTTGTTTGAGAACACGTACATGTAAATCTAAAGTTAGAGGCAGCTCAAACCTCTACAAGAATAAGCACTACCGCAACATACATGTACATACACTTACCGCTCACGGACGATGTGATCCAAGGGCATCACTGGCTCATTGGACGACAGTCTCTCAGCTTGCTCTAAGTCATCACGGCCCATAGCTCTGCGCAGTCGCTTTACAAACACTTTGAAGTTGCGCATCTTGGCAAGGACAGGTTCATGTGCAAGAAACTGTATGTCCTTGGTTAGGTAGTAGGTCTTTCCTGCACCACCAACCTTCTTCTTGTGCTTCGGCTCGACCGGAAATATACCTTTTAGTATACATAGTCGCCTGCATGCAGGTGGAGAGCAAAGCAAGGAGAGCAGTAAAACATACAATACACTTGACATGTGTGAAATGTGTCTAATTCAATAGGAGTAAATAGGGCTGAAACAAATATCCCCAATATTCTGGCAACAGCCCTGCCAAAGCCAAGTGTAGCCGCTTCAACCAGCGTGCAGCGTGTCGACTCCAGGAAGGGAGCAGACAACAACCAGCGTTCACCGCAGTACTTGGCTACTACAACAGTGCCAAGTTGCACGGACACCGACCAGGAGCGCAGTGGATCAGGTAGCGCTGACTAACACTATCCCGAGTAAGTGTGAACCCAACCAGCGTGATTCACACAACCCATCAGCTGAGAAAAATGATAGTGCAATAACTACACATCTTATCATGTCCCCTGCTTGCCTGAATGCAGTATGTAAGAATATTCCAGAGCACTTCAAGAGCCCGTTCCAACCTTTGCCGAAGGTCCACAACAAATTTAGCGGTTCCATGCACATGCACAAGCTCTGCTTCAGGCAGTAAACCAATCGTGTGGAAGACACAATTCATGACCAAAAACTCCAAAATGCTACGAAGACTGCTGGTATTACCTGCGCAACCTGTGCCCGTGTAAATAGTAGGACATCAACGTTACCGTGGTGGCGAACTTCACCATCCAGACCTTGTGATTTTCCAACACTACATATTGTGCAAAGCCTCGCACCTAGACCTGAATCGTTTGACAAACCTGAGTTTCTTGCTCAGAGGTGTGCGGCAAGATCAATATACTTGAACCACTCTGTTTCAATAGTTTCCATCCGCTGTGTTAAGCCCGTATGCTTTGTCATCGTTGTTGTGTTTTACGCGCACCAGATCAAGGCGGCGACCAGCATGCATCCGGTAAGCTGTGCGCCATAACGTCGCTAGCACTGTGCAATGGTAGCTTGTGGGTTGGCACCGGCACGGGTGTGATCCTTCAGCTGGCGATCAACACCGTCTTGGACACGACGTCGCTACAGATGGCGCTGGGTGCACCGATTCAAGCGCGGGCGCACAGCAAATGCCACCTAGATGTGCTAGAGGCTGTTTACATTGCCAAGCTACAGCCTGAGCTTTGTAGACAGAAGGAATTTGTCAGGAAGCTAGTGCTATTTTGACTTCCCACCTCCCCGTTATAGTTCTTGTACTCTTTGGCGCAACTCACATGATCATTCAGCCTGTGTACGTTTCATCACAATTTTTCCGCCAATATGCTGTATAAATTGACATCGTTGTGCTTCGTCACATTATCACCATGGACTGATTTGAGAAGTAATGGTACGAAAGGCCTCATCAGATTTTCAACTGGCTTCGTCTCTTCGTGTGCTGATATTTTCCCTCTGACTAAGTCTCTATTATAAACTATAATAAAGAATATTTAACTCGGATGGTGAGCCAAATAAATTAAGCTGACTGTATAAGATCTGGTTACGTTGGTGGACAGTTAGTCATAACTCGTAACATTTTGTCCTTCTTTTCACAATAATATAATAAAGAAAAGTGGCAATTGGACATACTCAGTAACAGTCCAACAAACACCTACCCACCTATCCTCACCCAGGAATTAATTTTAACCCTTATCCGATTGGCCAGTCAAATATCGACGACTATCCGTCGATGACTTGAACAAGATGAGTCTCACTCATTTTTGATTGAATCTGCATAATTTTGATCTCAAAAGAAGCAGGAAAGACCCACCATTCATTTGCAAAAACACGGGAGCGTCTCAGCATGTTCCAAAAAGAAGTTATTGGGGCATGTTTGATTGGTTGGATCCGGATCCAGATCGATCGAGTGGATCCTTTGGGTGCAATCAAACGCTGCCCTTCATCGAATCTGGAATTTTAGTGATTTTCGAGGGTTTCCATGAGAGAAAGCAACGATTTCCGCACCCGCCATTTTTTACACGTATCACATACAGAGTACGATTTTGGCAAAAAAGAATCCGGTGGATCCGGTCAACTCTGCTCCGCAAGGTGGGTTGACCGGGTCCAAATACAAAGGATTCGAATCCGGATTCGACCAATCGAAAGGGTGCGAATCCAGTGGATCTGGTTGATGTGTATCCGGATACTACCAATCGAACATGCCCTAAGTCTCTGAAGGAGGTCTGTTTTCACATCGCATATGAAACAAGTTTCCACATGGTGTAACTTTGGCAATGATTATGTTGCCCGTGCTACTGCTAGTGATGCACGCGCAGGTACCGTAGACCTACCAGTGATGCTGAAAAAGAGGGCGCCCGACGTGATAGACTGATAGTGCACTTACCTGCATGGGCTGCGATCACACAGCTAAAATGAATGGGCATGACATGGCTAAAAAGTTCATTTCAAGATCGAGGTGATTCCGCGGACGGTAATCAACCGACCTCGCAACAATCGTGTATTCTTTGCCAACTTAATCGGACTGCGCTGGTGGTGAAGTAGAACTCATCCAGAGCTAGCAGACGACAAGCATAGCAGCTCTTGTCCTGTGGAGAAAGTCAAAGCGTTTGAGAGAAGGCGCGACCAACTTACATCCTTCCTGGAATAAATTCGGAACGATATTTTTTTCGTCCATTGACTTCAGCGATGATGAGGCCTCCAGTTCCGCTTGAAACTCCCAGTCCAACTGTCCTGGAACGTTACTCTAGACTTCAGACTATCATCCTGTGCAGTAATTTTCATATGGTTTGGCTTTTGGAGTTGTCAGTAACAAGTGACAAGTCACTAGTCAAACTGCGACAATTTCGATGACGCGGAGGAAGTATAAAAGATTGATAATTACAAATTATAGTAGAGAGGTTCCGCATAACGTAATTACATTAGTAAAAACGTAGTCGATCTACGGAAAGTCTTCCGTAAACTGCATGCGGATCTGTGTTCCGCCATGCGGAGTTTTCAAATCACGTAGCTGCCCTTGAAAACTTCGAACGCGGCAGTGTACGACCGGATCGACCTGGGGAGTGAGTCATAATGTGTACCCCAATCCACTTACGGAGCACCTACGTTATCAGAGCCCTATCTACGTACTCTACGTAGACAACTTTCCGTAAGTGGAGTGCAAACTCGCGAATTCACGGGTTTTCCCGCCCACTAACGTAAAGTTGCTCAACTTTACGTAGCGCGGAACCTCTCTATTGACGGCCCCTTTTAATATTTATCTGACATACACTGACCTGAAATCAGGTAATGTAAGCTGAAGTTTTTTTAGTGCTTGATTCCTGGAGATGTAGGCAACGGCTGCCCCACTCTGCCCCTGGAGAAGGAAAGAATAGCAGTTCCAAAGAAAAAAGAAAAACATATAAAGGGATCTTGACTCATCTGAGCCCACCTTAGTCAACACTGTTCACATCAGTTCAGAACTGACTGACGACAAAGAAATGTTCGTGGACGTAATACGTGGGTACACAAAGTACCAATGTTCAAAGATGATCCTATATTGAGTTTCATAAGCAAATTCACAATGTTCATATTCTGCTGCAAGCGGTAACACATGATGTTTGTATTTGTTCGTGTGTGTGTGTGTGTGTGCCCTGCCCTGCCGCTTACATCGTCAACGTGGAAGAACTGCTAATGGAGTCCTGGTCGGATTTCGGATGCCCACACTCCTTTTGCTTGGTGGATTCTTTCGTGGACAGTGTTTTTTTTGTGACGTGAAATTTGCAGTTTTTTTCTTTCCTGTTCGTTTTCAGTCGTTGTCACTGTAGCTGTCAGGTTGTTGTTACAGTACATCAGTCGTCCGTTCTACTCCATTGTTTCATCTGTTTTTGCCAGTTCTGCTACCTGATTCTCTGTATTTGCCACTGCCCCTCATAGTGCCTATGCTTGGGTGGAGGGCGGCATGACCTGTCTAGGGTAGCTGTATCATAGTAGTAGTAGTAGTAGTAGTAGTAGTAGTAGTAGTAGTAGTAGTAGTAGTAGTGTGTGTGTGTGTGTGTGTGTGTATGAGAGTGTGTGTGTGTGTGTGTGTGTGTGTGTGTGTGTGTGTGTGTGTGTGTGTGTGTGTGTGTGTGTGTGTGTGTGTGTGTGTGTGTGTGTGTGTGTGTGTGTGTGTGTCTATGCGTGTGTGCAAGCAAGTGTAGGGTGTGCATAGGTAACTGTCTTGGCCGTTTTATGCCGATGCACTCCGTGTGGTGTAGACCAGGTGTGCTTTGGTGGTCGATTCACATGGCTCCGCAGGTTGTGTGGATTGGGCAGTTATCTGGCGCTAGTCTTGATCTGTCTCACTCAGATATTATCCGCTATCGTTGCTATAAGAGAAAATCTGTGGGTGCACATCCAGTGCATTTGCAGGCTTCTCTTACGACGGACGTATGCACGGTACATGGTGTGTGTGCATGTGCGTGTGGATGTGTAGTGTGGTGGTGGTGGTGGTATCCGTGTGTGTAAGCCCCTCATCTGTGGCACTTGTGCGTGCAGTTTTCGTCGGCCACAGGATATTGCGAGGCACAAATGTAACGCTGTTCGCGCGGCCCGTGCGTGCTGAGTCTGGCGTTCCCTGCCCGGTGTACAACACGTCTCCTGGTCTGCCCCTTATGGGGCTACATAGCCAGTCATGGCAATGGAAGAAGGAAGGAAGGTATGTGTGTGTGTGTATGTGTGTGTGTGTGTATGTGTGTGTGTATACATGTCCGTGTGTGCAGAGATGCACCTGGCAGAAGGATAATCAAACCTGCCAGGGAACCCTCTCCTCCCCAGATCTACAACTAATATGATGCATGGGCTGCTCGAGTGGTGTTTATTGGTGCAACCAGAGCAGCGTGACTATGCATGCCCTTGTCTGAATCTTTAGCCACATGCTACCACATAGTAAGACAAAAAAAGGGTGAGAAGCAAAGGTCAGATGCTTTCAATTCTGCTCCATTACACTTCTGAGAAAATAGATCCATCAATTACTAGCATCAAGGTTATGTATTCTTGCTGGCATGTCACTCCACAGCCTCGGACACCAGGTACCTGGTACAATATCAGAATCTATACTAGAAACACCACATACAGGGGAGTGCCAAACAACTTCGAGCCTATTGTACTGCCTATACCTAGCGAGGCCAATTCTTCGTGTACCTGTTACAATCATGAGGAATGTGTCTATCGTAGGCTGCAAAATAATAATAAAGGCTACTTCGACAATGTCTTGTCATTCCAACTGGTACGACCCTCAAGCTACGCCATTACAACTTCATCCTTAATCAGGCATAGGAGTCCTAGCTGACTCAGTCACTGTGTAAATCTCTGTGACTGTTCTCAGGCTACAAAATGACATGACTGCGCCGTGACTTTGAAAAAATTAATGGAGAATTCACTACCCATGCGAATTTTCAGGAATGATCACAAACGTACCTTCTTCCTCTCGCGTCCCATGACGTCCACGGACGAACTACTCTTCGACCTTCACCTTCTCCACCATGTACCGACCAAACTAATAAATCAGTGGATTGGAAATCTGCCAGTGAACTTCTGACCAAACAACAAGCGAAATCAAACAAGTCCTGGCCACATGTACTGCACGTTGACGCTGCACACCACATTGGGTCTTTTTTTGTCGTCAAAATGTGTTGGAGAAGTTTTGAAGAAAGTTGCTCTGCAGTCGCCATTATAGTCATGACAACGATGATTGTGCGGCAATGACATCATCAGTAAGCGGTCATAATAATTATTATAGATTTTAGGTCAAGATAAGAGTCCATCATAAACACTCTTTACTTGATTTTATGCTCATTTACAAAAGTTATACTGTCATGATTTAGGGCGCGTTCGAATTGTCACTCTTTGACTTTTCGAGGAGTTTCGTTTTTCTGAAGAGGTGGCCTTATTGGCCTCTTCAGAAAAACGAAGCTCCTCGAAACTCCACAACCTCATCCGATGGGAGAGGTGGATTGGAGTACTCTTGCTGTAAGTATTAGCAAGAGTACATTGGGTTTATGTACTCTTGGTATTAGCAAGAGTGCATAAAAGCAAGAGTGTTTATGGACTCTTGGTATTACTTTTTTTATTTTTATATTAGTTCCGAAGAGTTTGGAATAGCTACGTCACGTAGTACGTGGAGATGGTCGATCTGATCGGCGTCATCATCGCCATGACAATTCCACTGAAAAACTCTAAAATGATAGAAACCGTTCTAATCGGGTAATGCCAGTACCGTAAAGTACCGCCAGAGCGCCCCGTCTCGCGAGACACTTCAACTAACCGGCTCTTTTAAAAAATTGAGACCACAATGGACTCTTGATTAGCGGCCTAGCCCAAATTTGCTCGGGGTGCTTCGATATTTTGCCGGCAAATTTTGCCCGAGCACTTTCCGTATTTTGCTTGGCATTGCCTTTCGTTTTCGATATTTTGCTCCATTTTGCTCCTGCTTTGTGGCAAAAATGGCTTCGAATGAACCGTCTACTTTGGTAAAAGTCGATGGTGACTCTGATGAGGAAAGCAAAACTTATAATGGTGTCAGTATTCCGGATTTTGTAGCATGGCAGATTTCAAATTTATGTACCCCTGACAACCTGCACGAGCTATTTCAGCACGAAGTTGGCCCAATGAAACCAAAGAAATTTGAATAAAATTGCCAAAATACACCCGGATCCTCTGTTAATTCGATATTTTGCTTGGAATTTGCCAGCAATTTCTTTTCGTGGGAAATTTCGATATTTTGCTGGAAGAATTGCTGGCAAACAGCAAATTTGGGCTAGGCCTACTCTTAATACCGGGCCATGTACTCCAAGACTCATAGTCCGACTATGAGTCTTGGAGTACATGGCCCGGTATTAAGAGTAGGCCTAGCCCAAATTTGCTGTTTGCCAGCAATTCTTCCAGCAAAATATCGAAATTTCCCACGAAAAGAAATTGCTGGCAAATTCCAAGCAAAATATCGAATTAACAGAGGCTGCTGACTCAGTTATTTAAGTATAAATTATTTCAAGTATACAAGATCAAGAGTTTAACTCTTGGTAATCAGTTAGACTCGGGTGGAGAGCCAAGCCAGGGTTGGTTCAGAGTCGGTAAAGAAGAAAGAGGACCAAAGAGCCGCGGACAAGTTACGCTATACTATCCACTACTGAACACCACCAATCACTACTAAAGAGTTGGTGGACAAGCCATAGGTTAGTCCGTCGGTTATCCGGATATTTTTGTGGAATAGAGATGTGTGCGGTTAAGCGAGGTCTGACTGTATGCCAGTATACCATGGTATACATACATAACCACGCGGGTTATGTATCATAGTGTTGGTTGTATGTACTGTGGTACCGGTACCTCTTGATGACCACGTGACAGGGGTAGGTAGCCGAGTACACTGTATTGGCAAGAGTATTCAATTTTAATTTTACTCTTCGTATTGGATATACACAACTGGGTATACACGTCAGGGAGTTGATACCCCCCCCCCCCCCCCCTGTTTATACAACTCACTGCTGGTATACAATGTACACCAGGGAAACTATGTCACAAGCAGTCCCGGAGCAAAACCCACATCATGTGGGTTTTGCTCCGGGGCTGCTTGTTCGGTCTCCCTTCAGGGCTTGGGGTAGAGCCGATGTATGCATACTGGCATCGTTGGACTGGGCCAGGCTAGCATGGCATGACTGCATGGATCGTGATCATGAGTTTCATAGACCATAGGTCGGACCAAGCAGAACTTCCAAATCTGGGTCGAAACGTACATTGTTTGGGGTACTATGGTGTTGTTTCGTCTCCCTAAATCAGGGAGTCGTAAGGGTACTAGTATTTACGACTCCCTGCCCTAAATGCTATATCAATACAGAAAAATATTGTACCGACTTAAGCCAGTATTTCCAAGTGATATCGGGAAAAACCCATGGGCAATGTCAAGAAGAAAATGGCAAGACTTGTCGTGTGGAATAGTATAGACCTGCTCTTGTAAACTGATATTATTATGGAGCACAGAAATAAGTTAGTTGAACGTAATTCATCTGCCCTGGACTGTTCTGTACGCAGTAGTGCAGTGTCACTACTGTACAGTCAACTTCGCTAATACCGACTGCGGATAAACGACAATTCGCGAATAACGACAGAATTTCCATGCCCAGAGCAAAGTCCCTATTACCTGTATACAAATAATGAGACTTCAGGTAAAAGGACACTTCGCGAATAAGGACACTTTTCTGATGCCCCGCCGAGTGTGGTTACAGTCAGACCTCGCTTATCCGGTCTTCTTTTATCCGGATCCCTCGCCATCCGGAAGAAAATTGTTGGTTACCGATTTACAGCATTTGCCATGCATACACACAGTATGTGTGTTCGATTATCCGGTTCCCTCGCCTATCCGGATATTTTTGTGGAAAACGGATGTGTGCGGTTATGCGAGGTGCGACTGTATAAGCGAAGTTGACTGTACTGCACTATTAGATACCGACATAGCAGCATAGTTGCAAGCATAGCACAGACTCACGGTGCAATCCAGTAAAACCTGGTGTAAGCGACCTCTGCTTTTAGCGACCACCTGCTCTTAACGACCGTTTTTCCATGCGCAGACAGTTCTACAGTCTACACACACTGTGGGACCTGGTTCTAAAGACCACCTGGCTTTAACGACCGCTTTTTCTTGCACCCCGTGGGGTGGTCACTTAAACCAGGTTTTTCTGTACATGCACGAGTAACTTATAAAATATGTTTCAACAATAAACAGCCTCACACACACAATACTAGAGCAATGAGACATTCTGCACTGTAGCAGCAGCAGCAGCCATGTACCGCAAAATGAGTAAGTAAAATATACCACCAACCAACGTAGTCATGGACTTCTCCAGCCTAACGAAGAAGCAGTCTAATAGCTAGTTGTGCAGGAGGTGCGGCAAAGACAGCATTTCAAAATAGCTTCCAAACCACATGCCTAGTGTCTAAATAATTGGAATAGGTAACCTACAAAGTTTCTAAACTCATCGGTTAAAAACTACTAAAAACAGGGCAGTAGGGAAACTAGTCATTGGCTGTTGCCAGGTAACATAGCTCACCTCCAACAGAGAATACAGCGTGACGGTGCTTTAGTCTCTTCCAGCTCTGTACGAGGCTGGATTTATCAGCTGTGTCGATGGCATTGTGACAGAGTCGCAGTTGGCCGAGTCCGCCGCCAACCTGCGATGTCAGGGGAAGACCCCGAGCAGCAGCAGCAGCGGTAGCGGTAGCAGCTGAGTGTGCGGACACAAGGTGACTATCACTATCAGTGGAAAGTGAAAGCAGACTGAACGAGAGCGGCGAAGCAACTCCGCATGATGACATATCCAGCTGCAGGGCTGGGCCAGTGGCAGGGATAGGCTGCTGCAATGCTAGCAGAGCTAAGGCAGTGCATGTACTCGTCCCAAGCATACCATTGCCTGCCAGCGACAACCACCTCAGAGTGCTTGATAAGACACATCTAAGCAAGTAGAAACATAGAAAAGGATGACAATAGAGCTGCATGAGTGTGAGTGTGAGTGAACACAAACCAGCAGTGATACATGCTCTAACAAACCAAGGAGGAATGACCGTCACTGGAACAGCACACGCGCGCACACTCATACTCCTGCCCATCGCTGAATCCATGATAGCAAACACACTATGTTAGGGGTCGTCGCAAAAGTTTTTCGTCGTCCCTGAAACGAACATCGTTCATTTCGTACTCGGACCCCCTCCCCTCCCTCTGAAACGAACACAGCTTGCTAAGCTAGACGACGAAAATCGCATGCATGTACATGCCAAATGCACAGGTCGGTTGACTTGCGATTTTGGCTCGCACCTCCTCCCCCCAAACAAATCATGTTCGTTTCAGGGACGACAAAAAACTTTTGCAATGACCCCTTAGACATAGCAACTTGTGCTGGGGTTACACGAACGCACAATCGCCTGCCTGCCCGCGCGCGCGCGCACACACACACACACACACACACACAATCATGCACACCTTCAGAGTTTGTAGCTCTCACCAAAGAGGGTATTGGACACGTGCCATGCGGTCACCGTACATTGTATTGAGTGGCACACAGCTTCACTGATTTGCACCACACATCTTCGTGCCATTCAATAGAATAAGGATTATGCACGTAACCAGACCACAACGTTGTGGAGTACATGTGCTCTGTATACATCGTGCCATAGCTCACTCGCTCCGACAACTACGCCAGTTTAAGACACACTGTGCAATGGAGCATGCAGCCAAAACACACACAGACGTAGACTATAGCTTCTGTAAACACAGCAGGTGTGGTACCAGGGTTTAATACTCGGATATTTTCCATCAAATCTAGCCCACGTAACCCACTGAAAAGTCGAAGAGAGAACTGATTCACAACCAACCTTTCCAGTGACTCCCTTGCTTGCCAAGAGATGAGATTAGCTGACAGATCAAGTTCTCGCAATTGGTTGACCGGTCGCATCATTAGCTGTATGTCGTCGTTGGATAGTGAGCATGATGCAAGGTGCAGCGAGCGGAGTGCACATCCTGGCTGTGTGTTGACACATCAGTTTCAAATCGTGAACATATACACACAATACACGGCACAGGCACAGGCACAGTTAAGCCGAGATTAGCACACACCGGCAGTACCTCAGAGATCAGCCTGGTCAGAAGGATGATACTGTTAAACAACGGGTAACATGACACCAAGCATCTCAGATCAAAAACAAAAGATGTGGGTTCCCAAGAATGCTACATCTACACAGTACCTAATTGACAACAAAATAATTCCAACGAATAATTCAGGGTAGGTACCATGTTGAATGTGAAAGGTCAATCAAAACGCGTGCCCAGCCATACAGCCATGGAGGGCCAGTCCAGAAAGATGGGTTCAAAATGTTTCGGTAATACATGTGGTGAAGTATGTAAGAGTGGCGAGGCTTCTTGCAGCTTGACATCAGGCAAAATGGTCAGAGCAGACCTACTTTTTCCACAAGTACACTGCAATCACCAACATCATTATACTGTACCACCAAGTACATTTATGTACCTGTATTTATTTATTCATAAAGTTCGGCAGCATTAAGGTTTGCAATGGTACACACAGTGTACACAGTGTACACAGTGTACACAGTGTGCAAGCTTACATGCATGCATGCAGTAATACATGCATGCAAGCAGTAATACATGCATGCAGTAATACATGCATGCAGTAATAATAGTATAATGACGTCCTAAATCTGCTGAACGAGTTCGATGATCGCAGTGTAAGCAGGGAAGAGCGGGTCTGCTCAAATCCCGTTGCCGCCTTACTGAAGTACATGCATGTGAGGATAGCTCTAACACGATTGTGATCAAAAGGCTGATACCTTTGCCAAGTAGGATGCAAAAAGCATGCCAACACAGCCCGGTATAGATGGTGTAATGGACGCTACCAGGCTAAGGTCCTCCATGCTGTCATGTACAATGGAACTCATCAGGCATTCTAAGTCTGCCACCGACAAGGAATTATGGCCGAGGTCCAGCTTCACTAGTGGATGTCTACAACCTGCACATCATAACACAACACAGACATGATGATAGGGTGAATGTGCAAACACAACACAGACATGATGATAGGGTGAATGTGCAAACACAACACAGACATGATGATAGGGTGAATGTGCAAACACAACACAGACATGATGATAGGGTGAATGTGCAAACACAACACAGACATGATGATAGGGTGAATGTGCAAACACAACACAGACATGATAGGGTGAATGTGCAAAGCTCACGTAACACAACACAGACATGATAGGGTCAATGTGCAAAGCTCGCGCCCCTTCTTGCACCTTCTCTGACTTTCACACTTAGAGCGGAATAAGAGTGTTTCACTATTACCAAGATTCAATGGCGATCGGGCCAGCCAGTAACTCTGAGCTCCGCCGAGGTAACCTAACGAGGTCAACCCAGCTAGCCATCTTATTGAGTAGGTATAGAGTGACGTGAACAATAAACATATAAAAGAAATAAAAAAATTATAGAAAAGAAAAAGGACCAAGGAACTACAAGTTACGCTATAATCGTGAGGTTCTGGCACACGGTACTACGTACCAAACTCCGTGTCAACTGCAGTGAAGTTTGACACGGATTTTTCGTACGTTGCGCCGGTTCTGCTGTGCGTAGCATGCCTGTAGCATGCTCGAACTCCCCGCCACATGTACTCTGTCCGCTCAGCTTTCACACGGAGACCAGTCCGTGTGAAGCATGCTTCACACTGAAAACGGTATGAAAACATCCGTGTGAAACTTGATCTCGTACCGCGGTGAGGTTTCCATACGTACTTCGGTACGTTTTACCGTGTGGCACAGGCGCGTACGCAGGGTCACCTCTAGGGGGGTTTCCAAACGAATCGCAAACATGGCTAGCATTTTACCGTTCACGCTATTTTCGAAGTTCGGCCTGTACCATTTTTGTGTGTGTGTGTGTAGACATGGCATTTTACCGTTCACGCTAGATCCAACGGTACTCGTACCCAACACCCAAAATACCGTCGGTTTGGTACCGTTTCGACGATAGAAAGCTCTGTTTAGCGGGAGAACGAAACGGTAAGATTCCAACTAGGGTTACGTCACAAGTCGATCGTTGCATCGGGAGTTAGGACTCACAAGCCGAACTGCTAACCGTGTCTCGAAAACACACAAGAAACAGTGGACTCGCCCTCTATACGCCGACCGTCGAAAATAGCGTGAACAGTAAAATGCTAACCATGTCTAATGACTCGTTTTAACCCTTTCTAAAGAGCCCTAGGAATTTTTCAAAATTATGCATTTTTTCGTGTTCTTTGGATCATGACTTCAGTTCTACTCACTCAATCTTCATTATCTTAGGCTTCCTGGAAGTGGAAAGGTACCAGGGAGAGAGTGAGGTCGACCATGATAGCCAGGACACAGTACAGCCATGTACATATCCAGCGCTATATGCTATAGCGGTAGAGTGCGGCGGTGGGAAAAAAATGCCCCAAACTGGGCCAAACGCGTCCTGCTCCAGCGATTTCGTTTTTCTTGATCGCAGAGTTTCGATTTTTGCTGTGTACTCTTAAAAATATGAGCCAGCACAAGCGAAAAGGGACCTTATCCGTTTTTTGGGCATTTTGAGTTAGCAACGGATTCTTGTAGCCAGAGAACGTATGAATCAGATAAAAAAAACCGAATGAAAATCCATCAACATATAGCAAAGTTACGGACGTTTAAATCAACACTGTTTTCACCAAAACATCGCACATATTCACGAATAATCTTTGAAATGCGTAAATTGCAATAATTTGGCCATAGAAGCCTTACAGAAGCATTCGAGTCACCAGCGGAAGGGCTGGAGGATACAGTATACACACACTACTGGGCAGTTGGCATAAGTTTCACTGTGATGGAATTTATAGTGCCAAGCGTGACGTCTGATGGGCCATCACGTCCTTCCGTACCACGCAGGCACGCCGCATTTTAGATCTAACAACAAGAATAATAGAATGTTCTGAGGCATGTAGCTTTGACACAGCACGAGACTCTAGCAATTATCAGGCTCAAAACGTGTGTTGCACTACGCAAGTTTGTCATTCCTCCGGCACAGGCGGACACAGCTCATCCTTGTACGGGTCTGCCACAAACGGCCGGATATCCTTGAACAAGTACTTCTGGCGTTCTTGTGACAGACCTGCTGGGGGCAACACTTGGGGAAGGCCTGCTGCTCTCACCTGCTCAGGTGTGGTCTTCAACAGCTGAACATGGTCAGTCAGCTGATGCATGCAGTCGTCTTCTGCTCCTCACTCCCAGCCGCCATCACATTGCGCCGCAAGTCCTCGCACACCGGGCAAACATCCATGCGAGCCGTCATGAACTTAATATGCGGCTATGCCTGGTGCCAGATGGAGCGACAAGGATACAGACTTCTTACCCTCCTTGTGGCAGCAGTCGCAGAAGTCTGCACGCACGGACTTGTACGTTTGTGACGCTGGAAGGAAGATAGGTGGCGTGTCGTCTCTGCCAAGGAGTGGCGCAGGATGTGGAATTCCAAACACTTCCGCGTGCCGAGTGACAACAGCAAACTCCAGGACATTGTGTGGCCGTTTGCCTGTGTTGCCGTGCACTAGTGGCACAAGCCCATTCTTCTCCAGGTGGCTTCTGTACCGTTTCAGCCTCTTGCTAGACAGTGCGTACACGTGACGGAACGCACCCACACAAACAGTCAGTCCTTGGAATTTGTAGGTAAAACGCTCCCTCTTGCGCTTCTCTCCACTCTCAAAAACTGTTTCAGGATTACTCAAAGCTTCAAGAAGGCCCAGGACCACCAGCTCGCTCTCGTGCGACTCCATTTCTCTCATGTTCAGGATCGACGTCTCGATGTCAGCTGGGTCAAATTGCTGCAAGCAATTTTTTTAACATCCGCAGTTCTCTTTTTGACGAACAGTGTCGTCCTCCTCTGCCGGCGCAACGGTCGCTTCACAAGCTGCTGCGGAGCTAGCCTGCGGAGGTTTGGGCTCTGCCTTTCCGACATACAGCTCTGCTGCTGCGTCGACATCCACTCGCTGCTGAAGAAAGTGTCGCCGTCGTCAGGTTGAACCGAACGTCACTGGCGTCCGACTCATTTTCCTCACCAAAAACTTCAGCCTCATCTCTTCCAGGAGAGATTTCAGCGCTTCGTTCACGGTGAAACATTTACGATGGCTCATAGTGAACAGCTACGCCGACCCAAGGACTTAGCAGAAAGCGAAGACGGCAAGACAACTGCGCTGAAACTGCGAAAGCAACTCTTTGTCTTTCCGCTTGCGCGTGCGATTTTATTCAGCGGAGGTGTCGACGTGTCACCTGGTCACGGTCGATCGATTTTGATCGCCGATCGGTGGTAGAGTCTACGTGGGTCGATTTAGCCAGGGTTTTCTTCTACAGGAGCTGTAGGATACTGGCTCTCCAATACAAAGAATGACTGAGCTCCAAAGAAGTCGCGTATCGCCAAAAAACGAACAGTTTCAAGTTCGATCCGAACGTGACAGCTGAGAATCAGCTGATTCACTTCAAGTGCGGTTTTCTCAAAATCACGTGCAGCAGGATAAGGTCCCTTTTCGCTTGCGCCGGCTCATATCACAAGTGAAGCCCCTACAAATTTGAGCAAGTCAGCGTGACGAAAGTCTCAAATTCTCGATACTCGAGTCGCACTGCGTGCTTTTGAAATTGCGAGATCGCGGCTCAACTTACGAACGGTTTATCTCAAGAGACATTGCTCGCAGCGCGTTGCAAATTGTTTCAACCGACAGCTGAGAGTTTTCTATTCGACCTGGATATTTGGATCGTTGGATTTGAGCGAAATTTGACTGAGGTGCGATCTGTTGAAGTTTTGCATTCTTGCCAGATCGATCGTGCGCCCTACCAAAATATGCCCAAAAACGTTGCTCGTTTGGAACATTTTTTGGGGGGGGGGGGTTCCGGGCAACAGGACCCCCCCCCCCCCCTGCGTACGCGCCTGTGGCAGAACCTCACTCATGTCCACTAACACCACCAGTTACTTTACAATCAGCTAATGCGATAACATTGCACGGCACTGACCGACGGTACTGGCGTTCTACACCTAACTGGCTGACAGCTCTAGCACATCTTGGATGCGCACTCCAACAGCCTTCCAACTTGGAAGGTTCTAAGTTATAATTATGATAACATAATTCTGCGGGATAGCACTGAGCCACTGACATAGAGTACCCCCACTCTGGGGGTTATGAACCCTTGGCAGGACATAGAGTAACCCCCACTCTGGGGGTTATGTACCCTTGGTAGTACATAGAGTACCCCACTCTGGGGGTTATGTACCCTTGGCAGGACTTAGAGTGCCCCCACTCTGGGAATTATGTACCCTTGGCAGGACATAGAGTGCCCCCACTCTGGGGATTATGTACCCTTGGCAGGACATAGAGTACCCGGGTCTACTGGACAAGCTGATGTACAATATGGAAACACATGGACACATCTTACAAGGAATAGGGAGGCAAAGGATTGAACCAGCACTTACCAAACCAGTTAAATAGCGATGGCTGAACTAGCGGACACACAAAGCTTCCCGAGAGACACAGTGTGTGAAGGTGCAGCTTGGACAGAAGGGGCGAGAGAACACGGCCACTGGATGAACAGAACACATTGAAGCCAAGGTGCAGGCTCTCTAAAGCACAGGGCTGGGACAACGCTGACGATGATGATGAGGTGATAGACTGCTGGCTTGGAGCAGAGGAGGTAGTGTAGCTGCTGGCACTCATCTGGTTACACTTGCCTATGCTTTGTGCCATTTCCGCCAGAGCAGCAGTTGTGAGCGCATTCGAACCAACGTCCAGATGAAGAAGACCAGGAAGATAGGATAGGTGCTGGCAGAGTGCAAACACACCGGCATCGCCAAGCCCAATTCCAGAAAGATCTAAGTGCGCCAGACTGCTAGTGCCACGTAGCGACTGGAACAAAAACTCGACCTGCGCCGTTGGCAAGGCGCAATCAGCAAAACAGAGTCTGGTCGGGTTACCTCCGTAGGTACTGGATGATTTCAGTTTGGACAGTACCACATCGTGGCAATCTGACACAAAAAATATCACATTCACACAAACCCACATGAACACACACACACACACACGCGCGTGCGCGTGCCCACACACGCCCACACACACACACACATGTACACAAATGTACACATATGTACACACAGTAAGACTATGCCTGCAGCTGCAGAAAAAGTGCTCAACATCCAATTTCTTGGGAGGAGCAATGACACATGTCAACAAACAATGGATCACTCGTAATATTTCGCTACTCCGAGTTTCATGCACCGTGTGCAATCATCAGGCAAACAATATTCAATGCAGACTGGTCAAAGCATAATGGGAATTTAAGGTGGATGCAGGCGGAAACAAGTGTAAGGCTTAGCGGGACCCCTGATACGTAATCAATGGGCTAACTTGCCGGCTGAGAAGTGTGTGAAGCTGAGTGCTAGATGACTATAGCATAGTGGGGCAGTGCAATTTGCCAAGGCGCTAGCTGTTGGATGCCTGTACTACAGCAGAGCCAATTTGCAGTGGGGGGGGGGGGGGGGGGGGGGGGGGGGGTGCTATCTGTTGGATGCCTGTACTACAGCAGAGCCAATTTGCCAAGGCGCTATCTGTTGGATGCCTGTACTACAGCAGAGCCAATTAAGTCCGACGAGTTACAGTTAGGTGCAATGGCGGCACTTGCCTCTTTGGTGGTGTTAGGATTCAGGTGTTGGGTGCTGGATGCCTGTACTACAGCAGAGCCAGTGAAGTCTGAGGAGTTACAGCTGGGTGCGATGGTTGCACTAGTCTTTCAGGTGTGAAAATTCAGGTGCGTGCTGGATGCCTGTACTACAGCAGAGCCAGTGCCACACCAGGACATGCCTTGCTTAGCAAAGCATACTGGATGCCTGTACTACAGCAGAGCCAGTATGCGCTATTTGGCTAAGTCACACCTGAATACTTGCTCAGCCGGTATCTAGTGCTGTGCCGGCATTTGGCGATGAGGTCACACCTTGTGTTCAGGAGGGTTGCTTTGTCGGCCGTGATAATTTCTAGCTTCTCTGTTAGACAGAGGTTACAGCGCTTAGTTGTTGGGCTGTACGACTTGGCTCTGCGCTTGACGTTCCATGACACGTTGTACTCCTGACCCTGGTTTTTGAGCGACCAAACGTAGCTTGACAGCTCGGTGGAGTTGCGGTATTTTTCGTGCCGTATTGAGGTCTTGTGATTGGCGTGACGAAGTTTGAAGGGCGTCTCAGCCGACCCAATGTAGTACTTAGGGTCGTTTGCGCCGCCCACGGCTGCTTCGTACACGACACAATCGGTCTGGCATGCTCCACGCAGCGGGCAGTTGGCCTTGTCATGGCAGTTGCACGGCTTTTCTGGAGGGGTGGGGTGCAACTTAGCTTGGTTGTGTCCCTTGATGATGGCAGAGACGTTCGGGAGGCAGCTGTAGCTAATCTTGATTGAATTCTTGTTGAAGATTTTGCCGAGGGGGGAACCTGCAGGGAAATGTCGCTTGATGAGTTTTAGGAAGACTGCCCCAACATTTGTCTTGACATTTTTGCTGTATGGTGGGTTGAACCATATGATGTTTCTCTTTCTCTTCTTTCTCTTCTTCTCCTCGGCCCGTGCCATGTCTTCACCTTCATCGGCGCGGTACTGCATGGCCGGCAGGAATCCACTCTTGGAAAGTGCGGCTGCGTATATTGGTTTGGCCTCTTCAAATATGTCCTCACTGGCCGAGATTGATGTCAGGCGCTTGTTGATCGACTTTGGTAAGTTTTTGATGATTGTTGGCGGGTGGTTGGAGGCCATGTTGAGATACAGGGGAGTGTCGCCGGGTTTCCTGCATGGCTTGTAGGCTCCGGTTGTTAGATCCAGCGTTACGTCTAGGAAGTTTGTTGTCTTGATGTTGGTGTCAATTGTTATTCTAAGGCCAAAGGACTTGAACACGCTGACAATGTTCTTTCTTGTGCGGTCTGCGACACTGCCGGATGCACCCTTCAGTGTGGCGAGGCCATCGTCTCTGTACAGGCCAATAGACGCCGGATCCACAAAAGCAGCAAGCTTCGTGAGGAGGAAAGCACCCACACGCTGGCAGACCTCAGCTCCGTCAAAGGATCCCATCGTCACATCAAAAGCTCCCCCGCTGCTTCTCTTCACCCACGTGTTATGTCCGTCGAACAGTAGCGACCTTCGCGCGTGCAGTACCATATCAACTTCTTGCTGGCTGATGTTGGAATACTGCTTTGCGAATTCGATGGCACTTGTCAAGAGCTGCTCCGTGATTGATGGGTAGTACTCTACAATGTCGAAAACCAAGAAGGTTCTTTGGTCCTTAGACTCCAGAGCAGAGAACCAGTCTAGAACTGAGGCAGTGTTTTTCCATAGGTTGATTCGCGTTGCAGACTGCACATCCTTGGTCACGCGCTCCAGGATTGCCTTGCTGACTCTTCCCATCTCGGGCTTGGCCGGGTTAATCAATCGGCATGGAAGGTCGTTTGTAAATCTTTCCTTATGATCCTTAAGGGTGATGAACGCTTCGGACTTATATTGTTTGCCTGATGATTGCACACGGTGCATGAAACTCGGAGTAGCGAAATATTACGAGTGATCCATTGTTTGTTGACATATGTACACACATGTACACACGCACACGCACACGCGCACACGCACACACACACACACACACACACACACACACACACACACACACACACACACACACACACACACACACACTTGTACTTGTTGCACACTGCCAACAATGGTCACGTGGGCCTCCCCGGGAGAGGGGAGAGAGACTAAAAAGGAATCTTGGAAAGATGACTCAATTGGCTATTGAACCGCCCAACGACCGACACCCCTTGAAATCCCAAAAAACTCTGGGTTGACTTGAAAATGTTCCCACTTATGGGCCCACCACACCTCAGTAAGTGGGTGAGGACAGGGTGCAGAAAAAGGATTGCCGGCATCAGGGTATCCATCCCGGGATCCAACTGCAGTTACTCCTGCCCCCAGTGAAGGTAATACCTGCTACTACAGTCCATTCAGAAAAAAATGAACTTCTAGCTTTTGGCCATAAATGGGTCAAACGTTGAGTTTTTTTAGAATTTTTTTCTGCAATCCCATATGGAATCCTCTTCCAATTATGTTTCTGAAGTTTTTTTGTCCAAAAAGCAAGCCATAGCAAGAATAGGATTTCGGCCAGGTTTTGCCCCAAAAGCACTGAATTGGGAAAAACCATCAAAATCCAGGCCGTTTGACCCCGCCTGCAACAGTGCATTCTGCGGTTCGAACCCCAGTTCAGGCACCCTTTTTGGACCCTTTTTCAAATTTCAAAGTTCGCAGCACTGCACTGTGTACGATGAAATCACGAAAAATCGCCAAATACGGGAGCTCGCCAGAGCCAGGACCCATCTTTTTATGAATGGACTGTAGTGTGGGTGGCTAAATCAGAGTGGATCTGATAAGCTTCACTAGCACCATTGATTACACAAGAGTTAATCTAGCCAGAAGCAGTCCATACACACACACACACACACACACACACACACACACACACACACACACACGATCAGATTCACAAACACACACACACACACACACACACACACGATCAGATTCACAAACACACACACACACACACACACACACACACACACACACACACACACACACACACACTTATGCACAGATATACAGCATTCCCTCACTAGTGGGACCATTGTTATTAGGCTAGGGCCTGTTTTGGACTTCCCACTCTAAATAAAGAATACAAACAAACAAACACACACACACACACACACACACACACACACACACACATACACACACACACACACACACACACACACACACACAATACACTACAATACAATAATGCCCATCCGCAGATGATGGCAGGTCCTGAAAGGACCGACAGCGTTTCAGTCATGGAGAACAGAACTTCGAGTGGTGAGTGAGGTCCTGGCGACAGCGAAAATCCCGGCTGCAGTGGCACCTGAAATCCCGAGACACAGGTTTAGGCGGCTGGATGGTGTTGCAGGCCAGTCTCCACTCACGACGATCCTCGGCTAGGCTGTATCAGTCATTGATGTGACGTTCCTCTAGGTCAATCACGATGTTGTCACGCCAGCGCTTGCGTGGCCCGTGGCGAGGGCGCGTCTTCTGGAGCTCACCAAACAATACGCTCTTCGTTTTTCTGTCGTCCTCCATGCGTCTGACATGCCCCAGCCAGCGAAGACGGCGCGTCCTCAGTATCTCCACCATTGATCGCAAACCAGACCGCTCCAAGATGACGGCATTGGAGAGATGCTCATCCCATTGTTCTGATTTGCTGACGTCCAGGATGAGCCGAGCACAGCGGTTGTGAAACACTGACAGACGACGGGTGTCAGTCGCCTTTACTGCCCATGACTCACAGCCAAAAAGTAACGTTGACAGGACGACTACAGAGTAAACATGAGTCTTGGTGCGCACAGAGATGTGGCGGTTTCCGAAGACAGCAGAACGCAAGGCACCAAAAGACCGGGAGGCCTTGGCAAGACGGAAATAACCTCAACTGACAACTGGCCATCGTTAGTAATACAGCTACCGAGGTATGTAAACTCGTTCATGATTTCGATGATGTCGATGATGTCGATGATGTCGATGACACACACACACACACACACACACACACACACACACACACACACACACACACACACACACACACACACACACATACACACACAAGCGCACGCACACGCACACACACACACACACACACACACACACACACACACACACACACACACACACACACACACACACACACACACACACACACACAGACACACATCCAAAGGCCAAAACACGCGCAAACAAACATACATATCCATAAGCTTCTGAAGAAGTGGAGCTGTACATTTTGCTATTGCCCAAAGAGAGTGAAGTTAGCTTGCCCATAGAATACCACAATGTCATCGGTGGCTCGGACCCGCATGGAAGGAAATAGAGAGGTTCCGCACTACGTAATAATGGGCGGGAAAACCCGTAAATTCGCGAGTTCACACTCCACTTACGGAAAGTTGTCTACATAGAGTACGTAGATAGGGCTCTGATAACTTAGGTGCTCCGTAAGTGGATTGAGGTACAATTTCTATGACTCTCTCCCCAGGTCAACCTGGCCGCGTTCCGAGTTGTCAAGGGCAGCTATGTGATTTGAAAACTCTGCATGGCGGAACACAGATCCGCATGCAGTGTACGTAGGACTTTCCGTAGATCGTTTTTTACTGAAGTAATTACGTTATGCTGAACCTCTCTAATGTTTGCTGATCTTTGTTAGGCAGTGTCAAATATAATTGACATGGCAGGATTTTAGTTCTGTACTTCATTTTCCTTACAGAAGTACACCTGCGCAATGTGCAGTGTGCGTTGTCTTCGTCCACAATGATTGTCTTGCCAAGTTGACCCAAGTGACAGTCAAGTCACTCTTTTCATAGCGTTATATGCGAAAGATAGCAGTCTTTTGCAGTGAGACAATCTGCTCTTTGTCATGGTGCTTGCCTTATATAATATGTATGGTCACCTGTACATATGGTCACATGACACATGTACTACCTTAGTGTGAGATGGTGGCGTGTCAGGCAGACCCTATGCAAGAATTGAAGACAATGCACACTGCGCAGGTGTACTACTGTAAGGAAAATGAAGTACAGAACTAAAATCCTGCCATGTCAATTATATTTGACACTGCCTAACAAAGATCAGCAAACATTAGAGAGGTTCAGCATAACGTAATTACTTCAGCAAAAAACGATCTACGGAAAGTCCTACGTACACTGCATGCGGATCTATGTTCCGCCGTGCAGAGTTTTCAAATCACGTAGCTGCCAGTCTTCTCACTGATGGTGACACTGTACATCCGCACATCTCCTCTGTGTCTGTGGTTCGACTGTTATTGCCCCGTCATACTAGGAATGAAATAGATTTGTATCCAGCTTGAGCTTGCACAATGGGTAAAGAAAGGAAATTATTAACTTGGCCGCGGGTGACTCTATCTGTGTGAGCGCAGTCACGGCGAAGGGAGAACATGTCATCGTCAGAGAGGAGTGAACTGCAGATATTGTGGATGCAACGGAACACGAAGAATATGGGCTTTATAGTATGATATCTTTTGTCTAAGCTAATTACGTGGTACCTCTCAAGCTAGTATGATGTGCGCGTGAATGTGTCATGCTCAAATATGCATCTAAGTGCTCTCTTACTTATGCGTAGCAGCTGATCTCTCACATTGTCGGCGAGACAGTGTACGTAGGCAGTGCTGGCGTACTCGAGCTTGCTCTGGACTACTGACAAGTAGAACTGCCTTCTGGCCTGGACAGCAAGGTTCCTCCTTCCACGTCGAAAAGCATCTAGTTTCTTTCCGATATCTTCCCTGAGGGAATTAACGTGGGCACTGAAACTTAAAGTTGAGTCGAGAGTCAGTCCCAGGTACTTAATCGTCAGACGGGGCAATAACAGTCGAACCAGACAATGCTCAGGGTAGGTGGAGGATGTGAGCGTCTGCTGTGGAGTCTTGACGTTGTGTATGCATTTGTACTACCTGTTCTGTGTGCTCATGTACAGGCAGCACAGTACTACGATCTGAATCATGCATGCAGTTCAGTACACACCTGCATGATTTCCGCAATTTCAAGGCTTCAATGCCCAGTGCAAATCATGGTACACTTAATTATACACATACCTGCATTGTTGGCAGAGCATGTATCCGCATACCGCTGCTCAATGGGCTGTGCAGACACAGAGGAGATGTGCGAATGTACAGTGTCACCATCAGTGAGAAGACTGGCTATGCTGTCCTTGGGATCGAGCAGCGCACCATCCGGCATGCACAGTTCTATCGTACCCTTCAGTCCAGTGGATGTCATGTAGCGTGATGCAGCCTGCTCAGCAAGCCAGCACACTGTTGCTTCTTCAATGCCGCCGCCAATCAAGCGCGGGCAGGAGATTAAGTACACAAACTGGTCAACCTTGACCTGTGTTGAATGCAAAGGAACACCAACAAAAGTGACTAAACAGATAGTGATCATTCTCCTGCTGATGCAGAGGGCAAACAGACTAGTAGAATAGCCACCTCCTCAAACATGTGGCGCTGGAGACCAGAGAGTTTTATCTAGAGACTTAACAGCCTGCACAGTCCATTCATAAAAAGATGGGCACTGGCTCTGGTGAGCTCCCGTATTTGGCGATTTTCCGTGATTTTATCATACGAGTACACAGAGCAGGGCTGCGAAATTCAAAATTTGAAAAAGGGCCCAAAAAGGGTACCTGAACTGGGGTTCGAACCGCACAACGCACTGTTGCAGGCAAGGTCAACCGGCCTGGATTTTGATGGTTTTCCCAATTCAGTGCTTTTGGGGCAAAACCTGTCCGAAATCCTATTCTTGCTAGGGCTTGCTTTTTGGACAAATAGACTTCAGAAACATAATTGAAAGAGGATTCCATAGGAGATTGCAGAAAAAATTCTAAAAAAACTCAAGTTTGACCCATTTATGGCCAAAAGCTAAAAGTCCATCTTTTTTATGAATGGACTGTAATGGGCTGATAAAGCTGTATCGCTACATGCTCAGGAAGAGCACTTGCTGTAAAACCGGAAATTTCGGTGGAGATTTATTTTCGATAACTTTGGTCCAGGTAATTTTTACCAAAAATAAAACACGACCTAGAATACAACAATGCCATGCCACACAGTGTGCAAAATGCATTTTTGGATCTGGAAAACTGGTTTAATGGAAGTTTCCGGCGGAGGAAGGAGGAAACTGTAGTTATCACCAACCCTCACCGCGCTCAGCTCACGCTGCTACCGCGTGCGACCTGAGCTGGGCGCCCTGCCATGCAGTATGGATCTCTCCGGAAGCCAGTCACGTATTTGGCAGCCCAGTGAGCTGTCTACCAGGTCTACCGGATCGCATCGTTTAGAAGCGCCAAATGCGGCAGGGCCAGTCTCAGGCTGGTCGCGTAGGCGGCAGGCCGGCGGGCGACCGGCAAGGCTGCATTTGCATTTGGATCACCGAAGTGTTACAGGTGCTTCGACTGCACCCCGTGGCGCATCAGGGAGGCATCGGGGGCCCTGGCAGCCCGTAAGCGCACCACCGTATCAGGTATGCGCAGGTGGAGCAGCAGAGCAAGATGTGACACTCACCATCATCCGGTCGACTTCATGGTTGTGCGACTTTACACAGCCGGCACTCATTACTTGTTATTGCTTGCAGAAGGCCAGAATTTTCTTTTTCTTTTTCGCTCTTTCCCTTCTTCCAGGCATGGCTTCATGTTAGAGCAGTAAATAGCAGTTAGGGACTCAGCTGAGCCAAGCTGGACTCAGCGTGTCAGGTTTGGCATAATACAAGAAGCGCGCTATCTCCAAGTTGTGTGGTTATTGTGTGAGTGTATATGCAGGAGTCCGCGGTCACGTGAGGGGGGAGTGATAACCGAAATTTGTGCGCTCCCGAGCCGTTGATTTTGGGAAACACCGAAAATATTACACCACCGAAAATTCCCGGTTTTACAGTCCTGTAACCTCTGTAAGTCTACAAATTTTCAGAGCGTTAAACTTCATCCTCTCGAAGGGCTAAGTGACGTTGGCCGCATTAAAATTTCAGCCTGTACCGCTGCTACCTGTATACTCTGTGATACCGTACCTTGCAAACAAATATGAACCGCAACAAATTTTAAGACTCAGAGGCCAATACCGAAAACAGCCGAAATACAATATGCGCCGAATATTTGTTGACAATACTTCGATAGACTCGGATGGAGAGCCATGGACTACATTACAGGAAAAGAAGGACAAAGAAACTACAAGTTACGCTATATTGTCCACTAACATCACCAGTTACTTGACAATCAGCTCAGGTGACACCATTGCACGACACTGACCAACGGTACTGACGTTGTACAACTAACTGCCAATCAGCTCTAGCACGTCTTGGAAGCACACTCCACCAGCCTTCCAACTACTCGGAAGGTTCGAAGTTATAGTAATAACCAAATACAGTAATAATACAGGCACTACGATGATACGACGTGATATTCCTGCCTCATGATGTAAGCTCCACACAAAGCTTACCTTTACTCGCAGAGCTGCTGTAGAATTAGCATTGGTGCGAACCGCGACTGGCGCATGTGCAATATCCATACGAAGTGAGTCTCTGGAGCTGGACAAATGATGCGTCCCCATCGGGTGATGATCAGTAGGGTGATGATCATTAGCTACACGCATTTCTTCATCACTACAGCCGCTGCTGCTGCTGCTGCCAATGTCCAGCAGTGCATCAGCCACTGACAGAGCACCATGGCCATGTTCATGATGTAGTCTAGCAGCTGACTGTGTAGTGGATGTGCTCGTGCTTGATGGGCCAGAGCGAGAAGCAGTGCTGCGCTGTACGCGGGAACGAGGAGGGGCTCGCGTAGTACGGAGTTTACCACTCCCTGCAGCAGCAGAAGCAGCAGCAGTGTGCCGCGTCGGTGCCAGGTCATCAATTAACCAGGCATCATTGCCAGGTACGAAGGCAAGATCGTTCTCATCAACGAGAACACCAGGAGAGGAAGTCACCGAGGACATGCCGCCACCGCCTGTAGACACAGCTACTGCTGCTGAAGACGACCGTGCTAACCTCTCGTAGGGACGCTTGCGTTTTCGGCTGGGATGTACGGGAGATGAAGCAAGACTATCATCGCTATCAGAGCTGCTCACATCAACACCGCGCAATCTTCTTGGCTGTGCTGGTTGTGAGTGATTCCGTGCCAATAGGGGAATTCCCTCCGGAGAAGGAGGTAATGCACTAAACTCACTACGTGATCCACTGGAGACAAGCGGTGGCAGAGAAGGAACATCAAAGTCATTGCCACTGCTCATAGCCTCCGTGTCACTACTCAACACGGTCTGCACAACAGGTTGTAAGCTGGAAAACTCATCCATGCCAGATATAGGTACATGCAGTGATGCTGCAACACAATCAGTGTCAGACAAAGAGCTTGTCGAGCCACTCGACTGCAAGGGAGCCGCCAGTACACCACCATTAGTAGAAGCTTTCTTTATACCAGCTGCCGACCTTTCCCTCATCAATGCTGCTACCATTTCACTGGATGGCCTCCTTGCATTGTCGTTAGCTTTTCGAGCACCACCAGCAGCATTGCCGGAATTCCCAACACCACAAAGACCGGTAGCACGCATATTTGATGATTCCCGGGTCTTCTCACTGGCCGCTGTAACATCGTGTTGATGTCTTGCTACGGTGGTTGCCTCTCTTGTTGGCCGTGTCCTATGTTGCACTGGTTTCGTTGGCTGGTTTGGATGGGCTGCTCGACGAGGTGGCGCTTCCTGAACAGAAAATCCTTTCCGATGCTGTGCACCTGCCTTGACAAGGCATCCATAGACTTGCTGACACTCAGCTGGCCACTTGCTTCGGTCCTCACCCTCCTCTTCCGTTGCCACATTAACAAATATGTCAAGTGCAGTGTGGCCCTGCAAGAATGAACAGTGAAGAAACAGCATGTGCACACAACAGTCGTCACCGGAGCCCCACACCCTGCAGCTACATGTACCGTAAAGTACCCTTGATCCCCTGTTGTGTCGCCGTGTCGCTGTATGCGTACACGGAAGATCAGATGTACAGTGCTGGATTGTACACATGCTCATCCACTTGCACACCGGCACTGGCATATATGGTGTACAGCAATGCATGCGTTGGTTCAACATTGCGTTTCGGCGTACATGTACATGTATATGTATATGCTGAATTTGCGTCACAAGTAGAAATTCGACAGGGAGTAGAAGCTAGAGAGGGAGCGGATCAAGAGTACTTCACAGTGGTACTGCCGGCAAGAGTACTTCACAGTGGTACTGCCGGCAAGAGTACATAAACAACTCCTACCTCCATCTGTCATGGGCTCACCCACGGCAGAATTATTGATTGCGTCATTCTTTGGCAGAAGTATGATCAAGTGCGTATGCTTTCCCGCGTTTGTTTTGTAGATATGGTGAGAGTTCATCAGATTCAGGGCACAACAATCTATTCTGCCTCGACTACCGTAGCTGAGATATACAAATAATTCTTTGTACTTTGATCTCTGGCTACGCATGATGGCATCAGTGAGCCAAAGAGCCGCGAAAACTGCAGTCGTAAAAAAACGTTTGCCATGGGCCGGGGGTAATCGAGTTGCATACTCTTAACATAGGTATGTACTCTTGTTGACAGCAATCGTAATCCAGTTCTGTCATGTGCTGGCATTCACTGCTGGCACTCACTGCTGGCACTCACTGCCTCAATGCACTACTACCAGGATAGTGTTGGTAGGACTTTCACGGTGCTTTAAAAAATTGCCACCCCCCCCCCCCCCCCCCCCCCTCCCGCACGCACCCACATACCTTTGCATTAGTGACGGCCACATCAGCATTGAACTTCAACAGTAATAAGGCAATGTCGTGATGGCCATTTCTCAGAGCATCATGCAGTGGTGTTGTCACTTCTTTCTCACTTGCAACATCGTTCACATTGGCTTTGTTCTCTAAAAGCAATTCCGCAACAGCTGATACAACAACAACGATGATGACAGTGGAAACGAAGTCAAGGACAACAACAACAACAACAACAACAACAACAACAACAACAACAACAACAACAACAACAACAACAACAACAACAACAACAACAACAACACCACCACCACCACCACCACCACCACCACCACCACCAACAACAACAACAACAATAAAGCCATCGTGAGAATAAAGATTGGAAACAACAGACAAACAAATTCGGAAATAATTTCAAGAAGATCAATTGGGCATTCAAAAGAAATGAGAGAAAACTGACAGAACAACAGGGAGAAGAATGAGAAGAGAAGAGACATGACAAGTGGCAACAGGACTGCCTGGAATTAAACTTAACTGAAAATTGACTTCACCAACCACTGCTAGTCCACCATAGTGAACTTCAACTTACACACACGAACACACATACCCCCCCCTCCCCCCCCCCCCCCCCCCCCCACACACACACATACATGCATGCACACAGCACACACATACACACAAACGCACATGCATGCACGCGCGCGTGCACACACATACACACATCACAACACTGTAACGGAGGTTGCGGTGACAAAACTCAACTGACCAGTATGTCCCCAGTTGCAGGCTTCATGCAGTGGCGTCCATCCACAATAGTCACGAGTATTGACATTTGCACCCTGTTCAGCAGCAGTGGCAGCGTAACCAGCAAGCAAGGAAATAGATTGACCTGCATGTACAATGCATATGTACAAACAACTTTTATCAGGGGTTCAGGATGCCTATGAACAGTTTAATCAGGGGTTCAGGATGCCTATGAACAGTTTTATCAGGGGTTCAGGATGCCTATGAACAGTTTTATCAGGGGTTCAGGATGCCTATGAACAGTTTTATCAGGGGGTCAGGATGCCTATGAACAGCGGGCAAGTCTAACGTTACTACAATTTCTTCAGGCCATTCATACTATTGTCCAGTACAGTACTATTCTTGAATGCTCCACGATATCACCATACCCAGAAATACAAGTACTTCTGAAGTAAAATGGCAAATAAATAAGATAAATTGTGCACTCATAACAACAGCAAAAAATGAAGAAAGTCTGAAGTACCGCTACAATGCAAAACTACACGGGTCACACGAGGATGTCATTCCCCATACTTGCTGGATAAAGCTCTTCACAAGTTTGAAGTTGCCATTTATCGTCGCCTCGTGGAGTTTAGTTTCACCTCGGCAGTTCTTCTTGTCGAGCTGTACACCACATGTACAACTCCCACCCGCGCAAACACCCACCACATGTACAACACACACACCACATGTACAACACACACCACATGTACAACACACACACCACATGTACAACAAACACCACATGTACAACAAACACCCGCGCAAACACCCACCACATGTACAACACAAACACCACATGTACAACACACACCACATGTACAACAAACACCCATGCAAAACACATACTGTCAGAGGATACCGCAATGCGTCAACCAGCAGTAGAAAAGAACCCTTCCCGGCAGAAGCGGAAGCTGTTCAACATAGTGTTCGGTTACCGATCTCACATATGCACGCACTCGCACACTCGTACGCACTCGCACACTCGAACTCACCTTTACAGGCACGAACTCACCTTTACAGGCTCGTACGTATAGGATATTTCCCATATAGACCGAAGTCGAGGTCAATATCCTATTTATCACGATTCCTTTGCCATAACCCCAAAATTTGAACCTTTACGAGCTATTTTAACCTTTTTAGTAGGGCTCAAACGGTCACGGTTTTACCCCTAACGGTTAACTGCTAAGCTAACGGTCGGTTTAACGGTTATAACCTATAAGCCACGGCAATCCTGCGGACTCTTTTTTAACCGTATATTTGACTATACTCATTCAAAAAATGTACCCTATTCAGTACAACGCACACAATCATGTACATTCTCTTGCATGCTCATTCATACATGTACATACTCTCACACCAAGAGACCAGATATGACCGAGTTGACAGCCCAGAAATTGCGTACGCGTGCGACAGCCTGCGAAAGTGCATACTTTGCAACGACCTGATACTTGAAAAATTGACTGAAAAGTTACTGCGTAACCGTTATCTTTATCGGTTAACCGTTAATTCTTTGTAACCGGTCTGCAACCGGTTAATCGGACTAACCGTTTGAGCCCTACTTTTTAGTATAGCATTTGTACTATAGTGTACATAGGATGTTGCCTATTTTGGGTACAAGACTATAAGAACAACAGGGTACAGCATCTGCAGCACAGTGGCTGGGTGGTATAAGGGGTTGCTTGAGATTCATACTGTTGTGGGTTCAAATCCTGCTTGTTCTCTTCCTTTGTCTTCTTTCTTTTAAATTTTCTTTTTGAAGTGGAGAGAAAAATTTTAAGTCCCTCCAAAGTCGAAAGATTACAATGCCTAAGTGGTCGATACAAGCGGTCGATATTACGGAGATATGGGTAATATCTCTTAATTTGCTGGCCAAAAATCCTATATATAGGATTTGAAAATGTGTGCCTTTTATGCCGTTGTTGTTGGTCATCACGACCAATAATAACGGCATAATGGTTTTCATGGAAGTTGTAAATGTGTTTGAGGCGTGAATGTTTACATTTTAGATTCATAGGGCGATAGTAGAGAGGTTTTGCATTCCGAATTTCGGAATGATTTTCGACTGTGCTTTTCCGAAAAAAGCGCGTTCCGAAAAACTGTATTTTCAGTGTTTTGCATTCCGAAAATCTGATTCGACTTCGTTTCCAAGGGTTGCCATGCAAAACAAAATGGAGAGCGTCGAAGGGGTTGAGCAGGATCAAATCCATGTACATATGTGCGCAGGTCAAACTGAATTTGGGTGCGGTTCGAAGACGAGGACGGACTGATGGTGGACCAAGTGATCCAACAGCTGAAGACGAGGTTGGCGAACTACTGTCTTGTACTGTTAGTAGGCTCCAGGGCAAAGGAAGATAGAGTGTGATGAAGCGTGAGAAGATTAGTCAACATGGCGAGATCAGCGAGAGCAGCAAAACTAGCAAAAATCAAAAGTACATACGTGGAAATTTTTTCAAATAATCGAGAGCAGCAGAAAGCAAAAATACAAACATGAAAAATACACTTTTTTGTATTCAAATATGCACTCCCAAACATGAAAGAGCCGAAAATCTATTTTCGGAAAACCATGCACTTTCGCCACCACACTTCCGAAAGTTCGACTACTTTTTCGACTCCTGCCGCCACATTCCGAAAATAATTCCGAAATTCGGAATGCAAAACCTCTCTAGTATTTCTGATGGATACCCATTGTCAGCAATAATTGGAAATTTGAGCATAATTGTTCAGCTGCTGTCATAGAAAGGACTGAAGCAGTGAATGTGCAAAAGAACATTGCAGGTGTGGCACGGGGTGGTTTCATGACGACATATCGCACATGCCGTCATGAAACTACCAGTTTTAAGGATAAAACAATGTCCAGTAAAATCTCAAATCCTATATATAGGATTCGAAAAATAGGGCACATGCCTTAGTAATATTGGGCAAGGAGATGAGCCTGAGATGTTAGTGTTTGAAAAAATTATCTTATTCCCGTAGCTATGCAGAAGACGTTACTTCAGTAACGTCTGGCGCTAGCCAGGGTCCACACAGCTTTAATTCCCGTAGCTATGCAGAAGACGTTACTTCAGTAACGTCTGGCGCTAGCCAGGGTCCACACAGCTTTAATTCCCGTAGCTATGCAGAAGACGTTACTTCAGTAACGTCTGGCGCTAGCCAGGGTCCACACAGCTTTAATTCCCGTAGCTATGCAGAAGACGTTACTTCAGTAACGTCTGGCGCTAGCCAGGGTCCACACAGCTTTAATTTGGTACTTGTTTGTTTGTGTGTTTGTTTGTTTGTTTGTGTCACGCCTGGCGCTATCCCGTATCTGTCCCGTATCTGTGACTACAAAGGCTCTACAGGATTGTACATAACAGCTGTCCACAATATTTGCGGGCTCCTGTATCTGTCCCGTACCGTACCAATATTCGTCGTATTATGTATACGACTCCCTGATGTAGAGGGAGATTTGGAAAGAAATAGGGAGACGAGGAGGAAATTAAATTAGAATAGACGCCGAATAGATGATAGGATGCGTCAGCATAAACAGCGTCAGCATAAACATACATGTACTTTGGAAGAGAGATCGCGTCGTCTCCAAAATAAGCGTGAACGAGCGATTCAGCGCCGGTCACAGGAAACGTCGGAAGAGAGATCCCGTCGACTCCAGAACGCCCGTGATCGGCAGAGTCCGCCGGTCCCAGGCAACGTCAGGACAGACATCCCGTTGAGTCCAGAACGCCCGTGATCGGCAGAGTCTAAGCCGGTCCCAGGAAACGTCAGGACAGACATCCTGTCGAGTCCAGAACGCCCGTGATCGGCAGAGTCAGCGCCGGTCCCAGTGAACGTCAGGACAGACATCCCGTCGACGCGCAGAAAAACTAAATCTGCAGCCTCTTTTGCCGTCGGACAGGATACGTATTATAGGAGACTGTAAAGTTATGTAATGTCCAAATTTCCACGTGAGCAGCAGGTCACTCGCGTTGATTTTTCGACGTGCGAGCCAAATAACGCGAGCTGAACTTTCGCGTCGCAGACATCCCGTCGACGCGCTGAATAACTAAATCTGCAGACTCTTTTGCCGTCGGACAGGATACGTATTTTAGGAGACTGCTAAGTTATGTAATGTGCTCCACAGGCAACCGTGCATTCGGCGTCGTCATTGGCTCAACAGGTCAATGTACATGTATTACTACAAAAAGGCCAGAAAATCCGATTACTGTATTAAAATCAACTAATTTTCGCTGGCGATTTAATTTCGCTGATTTCGCCGCTTGGTACCAACCGGCCAAAGTAAATCACAGGGCAAAGTTTGTCATATAGGAAATTGATGCATTATTGAGCAATGGATGCATGTGAGAGCAAAAATACCTATCGATTTCAAATTTGACGTGAAATTGCGCGTGACGTCGGAAATAACGTGCATCTTAACCTCTCTAATAGAGAGGTTTCTATTTCTCATCAGCCAAAATTTGATGATTTACAGTATAAGGAGATAAAAGAAAAGGAGCAAACCAAAAGAAGATGATTATTAGAGAAATAACAATCCGCAATAAATTCTGCAAATACTTTTGCCTCAGTTCTTATAACATGTACGATGAGCTAGGCAAAAAAGCATAAAAGCATAGCGTAGGGCCCTGAGCTTCCAAGCTCTCTCGTTTGGTGTTTGTTTGTTTGTTTGTTTGTTTGTTTGTTTGTGTCACGCCTGGAGCAATCCCGTATCTGTCCCGTATCTGTGACTACAAAGGCTCTACAGGATTGTACATAACAGCTGTCCACAATATTTGCGGGCTCATGTATCTGTCCCGTACCGTACCAATATTCGTCGTATTATGTATACGACTCCCTGATGTAGAGGGAGATTTGGAAAGAAATAGGGAGACAAGGAGGAAATTAAATTAGAATAGACGCCGAGTAGGTGATAGGATGCGTCAGCATAAACATATTTTGGAAGAGAGATCCCGTCGTCTCCAAAATAAGCGTGAACGAGCGATTCAGCGCCGGTCACAGGAAACGTTGGAAGAGAGATCCCGTCGACTCCTGAACGCCCGTGATCGGCAGAGTCCGCCGGTGCCACGCAACGTTAGGACAGACATCCCGTTGAGTCCAGAACGCCCGTGATCGGCAGAGTCTAAGCCGGTCCCAGTAAACGTCAGGACAGACATCCCGTCGACGCGCAGAAAAACTAAATCTGCAGCCTCTTTTGCCGTCGGACAGGATACGTATTTTAGGAGATTGCAAAGTTATGTAATGTCCAAATTTCCACGTGAGCAGCAGGTCACTCGCGTTGATTTTTCAACGTGCGAGCCAAATAACGCGAGCTGAACTTTCGCGTCTCAGACATCCCGTCGACGCGCAGAAAAACTAAATCTGCAGCCTCTTTTGCCGTCGGACAGGATACGTATTTTAGGAGACTGTAAAGTTATGTAATGTGCTCCACAGGCAACCATGCATTCGGCGTCGTCATTGGCTCAACAGGTCAATGTACATGTATTACTACAAAAAGGCCAGAAAATCCGATTAGGCCACACCAAGTTATTTCATTGTTTCTCGTCACCTGAAAATCTCAAAAGGAACGCGGGCGGGCGGAAAAAAAACAAAATAGGGTTTGAAAAACAAAAACTGCTATTTACACTACAAAGGCC